ATATCTGGAACGTTGGCATGATGAATGCAGTCTTTAAGAATATGCTTGTTCGAGTACATAAACAAGGTCCCTAAAAAGGGGAAATCTTAGTGAGGGAGTGCAATCACAACTAATAAATAAAATTAGATTGGAGAATTTTTGCATCACCGCTCTGTACCATTTTTACTGGATGCAGTATAAATTTTTCTTTGCATACGCATGAATTCTTAGTTTTATTGAATAAATTGAGGAAGGAATACATTTTTACTGTGTAGTGAACGAGAAGTGGGTTAAATTAACTGAGGTAGAGATGTAAGATATAATGGCTAAATAATTCTGAGCAACGTATTTGTTTAAAAAAATATACAAATTTCAACTTCATATATTAATTTGGCTACTCTATGCAAAATCATCGAACCGTTTGAGGGAGCAAGTGTTCCATTTAAACGATTAATGCTTCCAGTAATAAAAATGGTACCGAGAGCGGTGATGCAAAAATTCTCCAATCTAATTTTATTTATTAGTTGTGATTGCCCCCCCTCACTAAGATTTCCCCTTTTTAGGGACCTTGTTTATTTATAACTTTTAATTGGGGAATTAGATTGTCCATTGGATGACTGCATTGCACTACCCCTTTTCAGTAGTTTGATCCGGAATAATTTTATTAAATTCTGGGTGTTTAAAATTGAATAAATCCGTTATTTCTTAACCGATTTATATCATTTTGGTCAAAATGTCCGGCCTAGATTACTAAACACCAAAAGACCTGATCTGGAGGTGCAAAACCAACAACAATTTCACGCAGTTTACCAAGCATGTTAAAGAAACAATTAGTTATGCTGTTTACAGTTTTGAATGTAATTTGTTTTCAATTTATTAGTCTTGCGTCGTTGTCAATGGCAATGATTCGTAGCACGAGCAGGAATTTCTGAACTTCAAATTGGAATAACTAAGCCAATTCTTAACGGATTTTGATATATTTATACTTAAAATTTTCGGGATAAACTGTCCTACAATTCGTGGGTATCAAACTTTTGATAAAGTTTGCTAGTAACTAGCAATAATTACAAATGTGTTTCTAAGGCTACATTTTTGCCCATAATTCCGGTCAAGATCACGTAATCCCTTAGTCGGATCAGATCCCGTTTCTATATTATGTAACAATAATCGGTGCAAAATTTCATCAAAATCGGTTGAAAAATGACTGAGATATCGCAGATGGTCACTTTTTTGGGGTGGGTCAAATGCATACTTAGTAATTTTTTCGTTGTTAGGTATTTGCCTCACTAAGAAAAAGGCGTTAGGACATGGTTTTGACGAATTCGCGGATGAATATCTCTGGCGGAGAGTTGAATTTTGAACTGATTTTTTGTAGGCTGTAAGATCATACTCTCAGAAAGATATGTTTCAAATTTTAGGGCGATAGCTTCAAAAATGCCCCCTCTAGTGCCCCCAGAGTTGGAAGGAGCCAAAAAAACACTTTCCAAACTGAATGACTCATAGGGCATGATAACCCAAGAGGTCAGAGGAGGATGATTGTTAATATTACAACCCTAGATAATCATTGCATGAAATAATAAAAGAATCCACAATGAATTACATAACGTTGTGCCTCCATCTTCGCTGATACTTTACCATGAAAAGTGATAAATCGGACCGTGCACCGGGAAATTGACCTGCTGACCTTGAAAACGGACAGACTGGGTCAAATGAAGATTGAGGGTAAAGCTGGAAGTGTCCTAAGTAATATTAAAACAAACAGTCAAGATTTTGTATAAACAGTTTTAGAGAAGGACCCGAGTTACAAAAGGCGTTAGGACATGGTTTTGACGAATTCATACCTTAATTGCGGGGTGGTTTTTAGTCGTAGAGATTTCTAACTTTTTTTATTTGAAAGCCCATGTCTCAAACTATAGGTAAGCATATCTGGCTTCCGATTTTGTGTACTCTGCGAAATGAGGCGAGGTCAAATTTGGAGAGGTGTCCTTTTTTAGTTTTCCAAACCAGTGTTCTTATAAAATGGCGTTGAGCAATATATTTTTTCTGAGGTCCTGATGCAAAAATCGTCTTTGCGACTATTATCAGTGGACTTAGCATGCTTTTCACTATATAAAACCACTTTTGCCTTATGCTTATCTTTTAAGTCCGTTTTGCAGTCTAATTTCATACTTGTCCTAATGGAATGCGCTCTTTAACGCAACTCTTCCACTTTTAAGGCCCCACATTTTACGACTTTGATGCTAAAAATCCCTAACGTGGGTTTTATCCAAGGTACATATAGTATATTGCACTGTAAGTACTTTTGACAAAATTTTGATAAGTGGTTATGCCCCACGGACTGAGTTTTCATCAGACCTTATAAAATTTTTGGAAAAGTTCCCGTCGTTTTCGATGTCGAACTTCAGAAATAATTTAACTAACCAAAACGCAATAATTTTATTATTTTGGCACTTGTACCTTGTAGATAAAATAGTTCTGCAGTAGGGGACACAAAAAGATTATTAAAATTTATTTTCGAAAAAAAATTACCATTAATTTTCCAAATAAGTTCACGAGTTTTTTAGGATTCCGCGACAGCTGATTATTTGTAGCATTGAGTAAATTTCAATAATTCTGCTATAAAATATTGTGCATAAAATATTTGCGCGTTAAGCTTGGTGAATAAATATGCATATCTATAATATGTACGTACACTCTCAATAATTTGATGATACTCTTGTTACCGGTGGAGGTACTATAGGGTGTCCGGGCTTAAGTTGGAATGTGAATCATGACTTGTGGAATTCGTCCTGATTAGAAAATTTTTATAAAACCTTCGGTACAGTGTAGGTGGTAACCATACCAACCAAGTTTTGTCGCGGAAGATTTGTCGCAGCCCTTTCTTGGCCATTAATCTGACTTTCCGCACCAACCCTCAAATTAGCGATTTTCCACCCGATTGCGGGAGGTCTTGGCTGATTTTTTGCCATTAACGTTCGAATCCAACCAGCTTTTTCGCTTTATAGCGAAGCTTAGATTACCTGCTTTTGCATTAGACTCAAAACTTGTCGGTTTCTCCGAAATAGGAGCATTTGGAGGGTTTTCTGTTTTAAGGACGCCTTTCCCAATGTTATCCGTGGCATGACTAACTATTAATTTTTCAGGGAATATAGTTTTCATGAACAACTTCCGTTGATAGTCTACACCCACAGGGTTGACCGAGTGCAAAAATGTGTTTTTCGAAGTCTTTGAACCATCAACTTTGTCGTACTCCTCGTCATAAATGATGATAATTTTTAATGACATTTGGTGACACAATTTATTGCCACATTTTTGGACTGTGATTTTTTGGTGCTCAACGTACTTTGGGAGACTTCGTTTTATTTTTTCTGTGACCCCCAGTTTATGTACTTTAATATTGCGGAACCAACTTTTCAAAATTTTCAGTATCCGTGTAGAGCCACGACTTGACAGGGGCGAGTTAGCGCTGAAGAAATTTTAAATGACTTTAACTTTTTAATGGGTGGGTATGACGAGAGGTGGTCTTCAATGTTTTTGAAATTACACTTTTTGGCATCCTTATACTTCGAAATATAAAGGTAGACTCTCGTTTTGAGACATCCTTCCGTTTTGAAGTGTTGCAACGTCTTGTTCGAGTCACGTCAAGCGACGTTTTTCACGGTTAGAAAAAACTCGATTCGCGAGGCTTGTACTTTTACCCAGATTCATAATGAATTTCACCATTTTTACAAAAAATGCTTTGTACCTGCCAGTTTCCCTTGAAATTGCGTCTCAAAAAATAGTATAGCAGGACACAAATCTTGACGAATTGCGGAGTATGATTTAAAGTCGCCTTTTCCAACTTAACCCTGGACACGCCTGAAATATGTAATTCTACCGCCTTAGTAATAATTTATCACAGAAGGATAACATACATACCTATGTATACAGAGGAAAAATCCTGCTCAGCCTCCAATGTCAACGCTTTGGTAATAACAATATTACCGATATCGGAGGCAATTTCAAAGTTTCCATGCTATCTACTCTCCATCCACGCAACTTTGAACTTTTGCAGACATTGAAAATTCTGTGAAACTACGCCACTGCCAGTCTCAACTTCCCTCAAATAATGCTGACGGGGAACATTGAGACTGGCAGTGTCATAGTTTCACAGAATTCTCAATTTCTGTAAAAGTTCAATCCTCCGTGGATGGAGAGTACATATGTAATTACATATTCCATGTTTCCATATTGATGTCTAAAAATCCGTCATACATATTTAAATTACTTGGATGAATTAAAAAATGGTCAGGAATTGGAACGAAATCCTACTTTTTTATGCCCTGAGCCCATGCACCACACTTCCGCCAAAAAGTAAAATTACACCCCCTACGTTATGTTACTCATACATAAATGGACTACCGCAAAAATATATGTAACATCAGCATTTGAATGTTGCTTGTAATTATATCTGCTTTTTACACCGTAAAAATTATTTCTGACTTTTCCATAGCGACATATTTGCATAATTTTTTTTAATGCAGTTCAAGAAAATCGCCACATATGTATACATACACTCTAAATAAAAGGTAAGCAAATTGCTACCGGGCGGTGTCTATAGATGACCTCACCGGTTTGGTAGCGATTTTCTACGAAACTGTAGTCAATTTGCTACCATATTTTGACTAACCGTTACAGCGGGGTAAGGAAATGCTACAAGATGGGGTGAAATGCTACCAAACCGGTGCGCGGTGAGGTCATATATGGACACCGCCCGGTAGCAATTTGCTTACTTTTTATTTAGAGTGTACGATGTACATATGCACTCTCAATTATTTTATGATACGACTGTTACCATTTTCAACTATTAATAAATACATACAATATAAAAAACAGCAACACTCGTAATAATGTAAACAGTGATATGATAACCTGTTCAATAAAACATGAGATGACAATTTTTCCCATGCCTATAGAGACTCCCCCACTACATATGTACAATGTACATACAACGGGTCCCTTTACATAGACAAATGCACAAGTTGGCTCTTATTTCCAATTTATTTAATCAATGAATGCATATTTTTATTACTTTATAACAAAGAGGAAGTAGGTCATCATCGATCATCGTGTGTAATTATGTAATTTTCCTTAATTAACCCTAAAAATTACAGTTGCATGAAATGCATTGCGCAATCTTACTCTCTTACTATCACATCGCCATTCGTTACACTATACGCAAAAGTCGCTTTATTTTGTTCAAGTTTGATAATAAATATGACTAGGGAACGTGCATACATTAAGTTATAAAATAAACGGCCATAACACCCACCCGTTCCCTATCCTACTCATGGTAAGCTTAACGTGAGTAGGATAAGTGACCAAAACTCACCCACCCACCTTTTTGATGACGTAATATATGCACGTTCCCATACCTGATGGTGTCTCATTACCAACATTCGTAGACAGTAACCATGGCTACGCTACACATATTTGTAAGCATGAGCCGTTTTACTTTGTTTAACTTTACCAATAAATATGTATACCAGATCGTGTCTGGTGGTCACCAAGAGACGCTTATTCTTACATAGACAGTAACCATGGAAGTAATAACGATCCCAGAAAAACGTAACCCAGGAAATTACATAACAATTTTAAAATTTATAATATACATATTTTCCTACGTATTATTCCTATTTTTACTGCTGTCTTATATCCTAAGTTATATTTACAAATTAATTTTAAAATCCTGTCTCCTTGGAAAACATATCAAAATATTGCCCCCATTAGATTCCTGTTGGGCGAATGAATCTATTTCCCCGTCAAATATAATATTTAAATTTAAACTTAACAAAACGAGCGACAGTTTTTATAGTGATTTTAACACCAAATTAACCAGGACAATTAAAAATGAAAATTTTTCCAAGTTAAAATTAATCATTAAAGAGAAATATGGTTTTTACGTGTATGAAGAAATTAACGAATTAAATTTAAGTAATCATTTAATTAAAGTGGAAAATATTGATATTAAGGAATTTACCGAATTGTTAATAAATACCCGGTTGCCTAGCGACCAGCCACAATGGAGGATTTATTTTGTGGAAAATAATCACCATGACTATTTACTATTCATGTTCCATCATTGTTACGGCGATGGAATTTCGTGGATTAATTTTTTATCCACGTTACTTGAAAATAAATGTGATTATTTTATTAACCCGTTCGAGGGTGTGGTCATTCCGGTAAATTTGGTAAAAACTATGCTTCTAACGCCACACTATTTCTGTTCCCAGTTAAAAAATATATTAACCGAGTATAACGAATTTCACGGTGATTTAGTAAAAAATAAGAAAACAATTAAAGAATTTCAATTAGACTTAAGTGACATTAAGAAGAAGTGTAAAGTGGAAAATGTAACAATTACGAAATTTATAGAAAATAAGATAAAATCCGGTTTCCTCTCAACCTTTGACACGTTACCGAGCCAACTCTTGTTAATTTCGCCCTTTGCTAAACTACCTTACTTGGATTTTAACCTAAAAAATCAATTTTATCCGTGCTTCAGTTTAATTGAATTTGACAACAAAAACTTAAATAAAAATATAAATAATGGAAACCATGGCAACAAAGAGTGTAATTTAGTCATAAATAAATTAATCGGTGGATTGATCGCTCCTCTGCAAAAACTCCTCGCTAATTATGGTGCTCGGGGGACAATGTCGTTCTCAAACTTGCCCACTTTTAAGAATAAAAGCTACATTTGTACCTCGGAAATTTTGGGGATACATTTTTTCCCTCCGATCAAATTTCGGACGGGGTTAAGTTTAGGATTGTTGGGGGCAGAAGATAAAATTTTTGGGACCCTGGGTGTCGATCAGAGCTTAATTGACCGGGGATTTGACATTGATAAGTTCTTAGGCTGTGATAATAACTGCGGTGGTCCAGGACGTGGTCGATTTTTAGATTGAGCAGGAAATATCAGTCTCCATGACGACGAATTGATACCAATAGTATAACGCGGTGAAGATTAAAATGTGCCAAATATTGTGGGAGCTTAAGATGTAGTTGAATTTGCCTGGATACAGTCGCTACAAATGTATGGAAATATAATAATTTTATTAGGGGGTGTGTGCCTCGAAATAAAGGGTGGTTTAAATGTCTCGGTACAATGGGAAATTTTAGAAGGAAAAATTGAAAATTTCGTGAATTTGGCAACTACATACGTCATTTCGTCAGTTTTGAGTTGAATAATCCCTTATGCATTTCATGACAATTTTCGCATGTCTGCAACCACGTATGTACATACATAAGTTAACCAAGATCAGTTTACACAAGAACCAAAAACATGCTTTTATCCTCTTAAATTTTTGCATGCAAAAATTTTCTCAGAGACGATTAATTTTCGTCAAAAGCTCTTTCGTTTGATAAGTTTACGTAGTTAAGGACGTACAAAGGTTGACATGCAATGACTCAATAAAAATTTAAATCCAAAATCCTCGTAACTACATAATCGAGATTTATGGGGTCTTCACTTTACGAAATTTTCCTTCGTATATACTACGAGACATGTAAACCACCCTGCATTTTATAAATTTTGTTGATTTCGTAAATACCTCAGGAAATTTGGAAACATAAAATCCAAACGCCAAACTAGAGATGAGATACATTGTAATAATTCGTGGAAGCAGGTGCTGTGTAAAACAACAAAGAAAATGATTATTATGAATGCCTCGTAACCATGACAACCATAACTATGCATCAATCAAGAAACTCACCTTGACCTCCTGATCCAAATCGTCATGACTACCATTGAATACTAAAAAGTGGACCAATTTCCCCAAATACTCGAAATTGCCGCCACTACCCCTCATCCACACCCACTGAACGGTCGGAATGACCCCGTACGCAGCCCACGCCCCGAATAGAAATAATCTCCACTGGAAACCACCCTCACTGTCGGCAGGGATAAGTTGAGCGGCTAAGGCGATCAGCAAAATTGCGAGGACGGTAAAGGTGTAAAATTTGAGCCAGAACTAGATACATATTAATTTATAATTAATTAGTATTTTTAATTGTAATTAATTAATTAATTGTAGTTAATTTTATCCATTTACCTGATCACATTTATACGCGAAATATATTCCACTAAGGTAAATTCCTAGTAGACTTAGCGATACCCCAAGTAAATCGGCTCGTAACCTATGTGAATAATTTAATTTTTAATTAAGGATTTAATTACTAATTAACTTTAAATCCATACCAACGATGATAACTTTTGTCACTGCAGCAACAAAACGTATGATAACACGACGATAGCAACATGCATGCCTGTAAGTAACCATGGAAACAATGTATTATTATTTTTAAATCATGGAAACAATAATAAATTGTTGAATCATGAAAACGATAAATTCTTTTTTTAACCATGAAAACAAATTATTTTTTTCTTTAAAAAATCACCATGAAATTTTATCACATACCTGAAAACAAACTAAAACACTTAACCTAATCCCCCACTCTGCTCCTCCCCCTCCACTAAACAATTCCCCCACCGTTAAACCAAAAAATACAGCCCACCCCACAAAATGCGTCCATATATTGATCGTCTCATTATTCCAGGAAAACGCACTTTTCACACAGCTATGAAATCTGTCCACATTTTTCCTGTATCCGTTCGTTATGTACGGATTAAATTTTAAATAAGGGGGAGCGGACGTAAAAGGAACCACGGCGGGATGGGGTGTGCCAATTAATTTTCTCCTGTCAATATTTTTCTCACGTGGTGGGGAGGGAAACTCTTCAAATTCATTATTATTATTATTATTTTGGGGGGGCATTTTGCCAGGGGACGTTGCCGTGGCAACGAATGAATCAAGACTGAGGGCAAAAGTGTGACAAAGAAAAAGTGAGCGGAGGACGAGTTATTGTGCAATTTTGTGGACTTGCTTGACCTAGAAAATGTTGTCATGCGTTGCCATACCAGCATATGAATTATACGGCGTTTAAATCGTAGAGTTATTGTAAATAAGTGATCCTCCATGCCGATACATGCACGCGCTGGGTATGCGGATTAATAATTAATTCTCATACACGCGCCGGGTAATTAATCGATTATCGATTGTCTTAGTGACAAGGTTTGGTTTCCTGGTTATCATTATTTACTTGTGGAGTTGGCGTGAAAGGATCGATAGTTATTGGAAATTAATGAAGCACTTTTGGTGGTAAATATTTACCTGGTGGCGACTGATCATATTTTCTGGGGATGTTTGTTTTAATTAATTCGCCCACTCCATATGGAAAATGAAGAAATTTAAAGGTGACACGTGGAGATCGGATATCGTAGGTACATGCAGAAGAACATTTTAAGACCTTGACCACGATTGCTTGACTTTGAGTTAAAGTGTCAAATAATCGTGGGCCTTGATCTATTCAAAACAAGCATCGTTAATTAAATACATATAGAGTATGTATGTACATATATGTATATTATTTGATGATGCCGGGTAAAATAAAGGAAATCATTAAGTGAAACATTTTTGAAAAAATTTGCAGACGTGAAAAGCTCTAGCATTTGTTAGATTACTAATTTACTACGCTGATGGGTCGCGTGCTGAAAGCCAAGCATGAATTTGTACTGAGAAATTACGGCTATGAACTGAGGACTGCTTATTTACTTAAATTATTCATAAACAGATTCTCATACATAGGTAGGTAAGTAAATGCATACGTATGCATGTACATACGTAGGTACATACATGCATTTATGATGTATGTAAATAGGTATGAACAGGTGCATATCGTCGCTGCAGATCCATAACATGCCAAGTTGAAAACCAGTTGGAAGAAAAAAATGCCAAGTTGAAAACATGTCGGAACCATAGCATGCCAAGACTGCTTTGAAATGTAGTGCAATTGGCATGTTATGGTTCCAACATGTTTTCAACTTGGCATTTTATGTTCCCAACTGGTTTTCAACTTGGCATGCTATGGATCAACAGCGACGATATCACAATGAACTTACGCATTCGATGGTCAAGTTGTATCTACTTTTTTGCAGAGCTGGTGCGCATGCACACCAAACTGTACATGTATGTATGTATGTAATATGCTACGTATTATATACGTAAAATAATAATGTGCAAATTCAAAGCACAGCAAACTTTGTAGTTTGATTTGTTAATGAAGTATAGAAATTTGTTGGCAGAGAATGCATTACTAAATGTGTATGTTATTATCATTTTACATGTTACCTACATATATCATTTGATATCTTTATGAAACTGCATAAACGACCAGCGCAATGTCCAAGTGCATATCTACATATGTACACAGTTGTACATATGTTCAGATGTCAATATTAAGTGCATTCTTGCATAAGTTTGTAGTTAGCAAAAAGTACAGTAACAATGAATCAGCGTCTTCTTTTGTGCAAAATATTATTCTTACGTCTGCATTAATGGTGCACAAAATGCAAGCAAATGAATGAAATGTAAATTCACGCAGGGAATTGTATTTTTTCAAGAAATTTCATAAATACATACATACATATGTTCCTATTATACCAAATGGATTTAGATTCAGTTAAATTAACTTAAGATTCAGTTATACAGACGTCTTTACTGATTTGAAAATATATTTATTAGCGATTATTTCATGACTTGATATACGAGCCAATGTGTATTATCATACATATTATATATCAATTTTAACGTTTTTACCCGAAAATGCTTAATGTGTGTAATTTTTTAAGCGTAAAATATGCTGCAAACTTAAAGCAAATAGTCGTCGACATTCTTACCTCGAGACTTGTTAAATATTTAATCCAAAAAGAAATGCTGACATTCACTGCATATTCCAGAATATTCATGCAATCAACAAGCCACCCTTCTAAGACGTGCTTTTTGCAAATAATGCTTTCATTCAGTAAATTATGAGGTTGTTTATGAACCAAAAGTCGATAAACTTACTTAGCATGCATTTGCAACTTTTACTCTAATTAGCTCTCAATAAATGAAGCATTCATGCATTTTCTGCAAATGCATACAATTTTACATAAGCGAGGTGCTTATTTAGCAAATGAGACATCATTTATTTATGACAGAAGGACATTGTCCATACCTATTAATTAATGGGTTGGAATCAACAACATTCCGAATTATGTAGATGAGTATAAATACAAGCCGCAGAGGAGTTCCCTGTCATCATTCTTTAATTGAGATTTATTGAGTAATTAAACCCAGCCATACATACATACATATATTCGAAGAATTAAAGGTCTCAGAAACATGGAAGTTTCTGTGGTATTAATTTTACTGGGTATGGTCTACTCAATTGTTTATTTACCTATGTCATATTTTTTTTAATTACAAAATAATAATTTTAAGTATGATCGCGAGACGTGCTTTGCAAGTTAATTACAGCATTGTCCAGTTAATTTGAAAATTTTATTTCAGTTTTTGGCAGCCACGCGGTCACTGGAGCCCCCAAAGAAATGGAAACGACTCACGTCCACTCGGCGTCAGGAAGACTGCAACTTCCAGAGGTTTTCGGTGCGACACCGATGTCATTTTCATACCATGCCGAAATTACTCCCATTGGCCCGAGATATCTTGCACTTGACAGAAAAATACGTTTCCAAAAATTACTTAATTTTTTATTTTATTTTGGTTCGCTATTAAATTGTCAAGATCAGTGGCTCTTCTGTTAAAAACACCTGCAGGAAATTAGTCTACAAAAATGTCTAATAACACCTACGAAAAGTGCACGAACATATTTTTAATTTTTAATCTGACTCTTTACAGATGGAATCAATTTCTGGAAACATATCTGCCACCGTGCGTCCCAATAAGTTTGCATCCACCTTGATCCATATAATTTTCGAACTGTTTTCCACCCTTGGAAATTCGAGTCGAGCCCTTATTCCTGCAAGGCTGGAAAGACCAAAAGATTTTCTAAGACATTCAGTAAGTTGTCGTAAATAATTCTGTTACAAAAAATAGAAACCAAAATCCTTTAAAACATGGTACTTCAAATATTTTTTGCTTGAGGGAACGTCCATATAATTCGTCAACATTTTACTTAGTGGGTGGTTTACGTCCTCCTATCTGCCCCATATTAAAATATCCTACATATCCCTTAATGTATACGTGGGGTGGGTGGGTGCTAAAATCGAAACCTTTCGGTGACATTATACATACATAGATAGCCCATGATTTTAACAAACTCGGCCAGATAACATCTCAGACTTTTGTTGTCGCTATTAATTATTTTGAACGAACAAAATATTTAAAAAAATTCTGCTGTGTTTTCATACCATATGTTACTCAATAAAATAAATTTTAGGGGCAAGTGCAACATAACATAGATGACCCACGACCCTTTGTGTCCAACCAAGAAAGTCTTTCCTTGCCCCATACCCGTGAAAAAATGTCACCCTACCCCGAAAGCAATGCCACCCCATCGCTTCGTCTTGAGCCAGAATATATACCAGGATGGGAGGCAGATATCGATGACTTGGTTAAGAGAATGATCGCTGCACAATTTCAAGTCGCCGTTGGAGAAGTTAGCAAGAGCACGGCCCTGGCCGACGACTTGGGCGCAAATGGTATCGAGCTCCGCTATATTGCACAGACGATTTGGGACAAGTTCGCTTGCAAGGTAACAAACGAAGAAGCCGAAAACTTCAAATTGGTTCTTGATGTGATCAATTTTGTGAATTTGAATTGTTTCAAATTTTAAATGTAATGGGTTAAATTAACCTAGAAATTGTAGTGTTGTTATGCATATTTGGTTTGCGGGGCTGTCAAAATTATGAATTTTTAATAAATATTGGTTGAATTATTTAAGGTGAATAACAGTAAATAAATAAATTGGATTGTATGTATGCACCTGTCCACTAATTATGGAAACATATTGGGGAAAATAAGCATGTATATACATACTTATTTACCATAGAAAATGTGGCGACTATTTATCCCATATTTATTTCAATTCCATCTCTGAATAAAATTGTTCTGTCAAGCTTACATATGTTTTCCTGTTTTAGAAGAACTCTAGCATTCCGATTTCTCGGTAATAAAATTGTTATTATTTGATATTAAGATTATACCGGTCCGTAAAAAATCGACATTTTACAACTTTAATTCCAATCTTAATGAACATATGTATGCAAATTGTATGTAAATAACTCATCATTAGCTCAAATGTGAACAATCCCCATCCTCCATGGTACATATATTGGATGTCCATCCATATGTAAATATTCCAAGCGCATTGTAACTCCGTTTCACAACTTGTGATTTTACCGCGACATGTAATACCACCTCACATTCCCAATTGTCAAACAGAATTTAATAGCCCCATATATACAGTATTAAAGCTCCCTCTAGTTATGCTTGATTCTCTCATTAAAAATAACACCATTGACCCGCCACACCCCACCGCCCACACGTCAAAGCCAGGGATCAAATTTGCAAACGAAATTTGCGAATCCTCCCCACGACTCGAGAAATAAACCACTTTCGACAAAGTGACTTCAAAGCTGTACCAATCCCTCCAAAGCGATAGAAATCCGGCTTCTCTCAACCGGTCAGCAACATTGGTCAGTTCCCTAAAATATCTCGGTGGAAATTCATCCACCCAAATTTTTTTAGTTCCCAGATTCTTCGCGGTATAACAATCCCGCCTCCAATGAAGTATTTCAAATTGAATTATGTGAATTATCGCCGGCCCAAGGCCCGATTCGACGTGATGAGCAACCTTTTCTTGTCCAATGGCCTCCCATGAAATCCCATGAATTGACATTCCCTCCGTAACAATGGTCCTATTAAAGGCGGATGAGATGTTTTCAAGTTTGAAATCGTGTTCAAAATCTGTCCTGAATTCACCTTTCAAAAATATCACGAGTTTGTACCCGTTATCCACAAATTCCCGGTACTTCGAAAACACGACACTTTTCGCAGGAACGGTCAAATTTGCGGTGAAGTAATTTTCATAGTTAGATTGCAAACATAGCATGGCTAAAAGCAGGGCGAGATATAGTCCTTTGTCGGCTTGTTGAACAGAATCTGATGCCTGTTTTAGAAAAATATACGTAACGCCCCAAACCCGGTCGGAAACGGGTCGACCCTTGTGCCGCGATAGGGTGGACACCCTCTGTATAATAAATAATGCCGTGATAGCCACAAATGAGACCAGGAGGGCGACATAGACGTCCACCTCGTACGGAGAAGTCCACGGGATAAGCGCCATGTCTTCCGAACTGTCGTAAAAGTCGCAGTAGATGAAGTCGAAATTGTTAAATTCTAGATTGGCGAAGGTGTTAAAGTCTTCGCTGAATCGGGCCCTGTTTAGGTTTAGATTTCCGAAAGATTTTACCCCTTTGAATTTCGCGGTGTGCGGAATAAACGTTATATTCACCACGTGGCTCAGCGTGTCCAGGTATATGTCCCGCCAGTGACAGTCGAACGGGAAGGATGCCGCCATCGAGGTGGCACAGCTGGTGTTGTAGGGGAAAGTAATTTTTAGTGAAAAACTGTCCACCCGGTAGGAAATGAGAGCCCAGGATTTTTTAAAAGTGTGCAGTGACACTGGAAAATTTTCAGGGGGCAGGAAATCAATCGGGACACCGGGAACGGTGCAGTAACTGCAGTGATATAACGTGTGAAACGTGTAGGTGTTAACGTTTTTCACGGCCAGAGTTTTTCACGGCCACTTTACAAGGGCAGAGGCTTGCGTAAATTGGCAAAAAGCTTCCGCCCCATTGTTCTCCTGAAATCATATACAAAAATTTTTGAAAGATTCCTATATAATAGACTCCTGGCTCAAGTAAAACTATGCGATCAACAACACGCGTACAGGAAAAAGAAATCATGCCAAACAGCTCTGTACGATTTTACCAACTATGTATACGAAAATCTTGATGTTAGAAAAGGAAAAGTTGCTGCACTTTTCATAGATTTGAAAGATGCGTTTATATGTATATCTCACAATCTGTTAGTACGTAAACTTTTAGACAGATTTAATGTAAACCCTCACTTAGTTAGGCTAATATTTGAATCACTGAATGGTAAATCGTATATATTTATTGCTGGTGAGAAATATTATAAAATGTATGCAGGTTCTGGACAAGGCTCGATTCTCGGGAGTCTCATTTTTTGTTTATTTCTTGATGACATTTCTGAAATTATAGATATACAATTTTTAATGTATTCTGACGACATCGTAATCTATACCCATGGATGTGACACCGAAATTATAAAATCCTCGTTAGTAGCCTGCTTCGATAAAATGTGTACCTGGTTTGATGCTAACAAAATGTATGTAAACTTTGACAAAACCAAGTTCATGATATTTTGTAAAGAACACGACTCTGTACCAACTAATATTACCCCATTTATTGTACAAAACCATACAATTGAACGGGTCAATAGCTTTAAGTATCTCGGCATTCTACTCGACCCAGCGCTGAACTTTAACTTACATTTTGACTCAATTTACAAGAAATTGTGCGGTAGAGTTAAATTCCTATATGGTGTCAAGAGATACTTAAATCTGCAGGCCTTAAAAGCCATGGTTAATGCACACCTACACTCTTTGACTGATTACTGCCTTGACATTTGGGCCATACATAATGACACTAAACTTGACACCTTACAAGCAAAAATCGATAAATACCTATGTATTTATTTTTACTCGAGAGTTGCTAAGAAAACAAAAAAGAGTACAAGTATTTCCTTCTCGTGCATTCGCAACTCGGCTGAAATGACACGGATTCGTGACGATTGTAACTTTTTGACATTAAGTGAGAGACTGAAGTTTGTAACTCTTAAAAATGCTTATAAGAGATGGTCTCTAGGCAAGCTTTCTTTTTCCGACAGTAGAGTTTCCTCGAATTTATCCATGCCGAAGCTTGACCCTATTGTGCACAGGACTGAGTCCCGTAAGCGGGCCCTCACATATCGCACCTACAAATTATGGAATGCCCTCCCAAAAACCTGGACATTCAAAGACATGACTTACTCAACGTTTTGTGACTCTGTTAAAGATTATATTTTAAGTCTTCGTGAAACAGTGTAAAAGCAACTGTATGTATTATTTAGTTTATAGTTATAGAACATTGTATTAGTTCAAATTTTATTTGAGATTGTCGCTGGGTGTCCAGGGCTGAAAACCAGCACTTGTGCTGACGCTCGTACGACACCATTAATAAAAACTTCAATCAATCAATCAATCAATCAAGAGTGAAGAACAGATTGGTCGCCATCTTCCCGCTTTTTGGAATTCGGTGGAAAGTTGTGGCTATGAATTTGGCGGGTAAGGAATACATTTGAATAAAGGCGGCAAAATTTTAACCGCGATAATACTCGCGGTTCCTTTCATAGTACCGAATGAAGTTGGAGATGTCATTTGAAAGTATGAAGTTTATGGCACATCTTTCCATTGCGTGTGAATGGAATGAAGTTGTCAGGGGGGAGGTGGTGTCCAAACTGGGGGGAAAATAGGTCGGGAAGAAGATCATGTAGGAATAAGGAGATATTTTTGGTGTTATAAAAAATGAGGAAAGTTGTAAAATTTGTGGATGAGTTTCGAAATATTTGATACGTACGACGCAGGACAATATTTGTGGGGAAATAAGGTTTAGTAGGGTCAAAAGGGACGACATGACGGTAAGAAATGGGGGTACGATTTCTAATATTCCTGGTTTTGTGTCAGTCGGTTAGAAAAAGAAAATTGCACAAAAGGTAACAAGCACAAGTGGTAAGTATGTCGGGATTTTGATAAACTATTGTAATACATTTCCTGTCGTGGCAAGTACTGATTGGTTCCATGTTGTTCAATATATATGCGTCGTACTGGCAGAGAAGGACGTGCATAAAATACGTAACGAAGAAAGGCCTGGTAAACTTTCATGTAATGAAATCTGAAGCCCGTAAATATATATGTAGCATGAACATTAGCAGATGGGGGATGGATTATGATTTTTAAATAATGTATAAATTAGTGTTACATATTTCGTGAGCCGTCCTTACTTTTGTTCCACTCATAAATTTATAAAGAAACAACTTATTGTACAAGTTTAACTGCAACAAATTTGTCAATTCTAATCAATAACTAATACCGCACTCATCAGGTATTTACCTAGTTTCCCAAATCATTAAAATAGCTTGGTGGTCTGAAATATTCCGGTGTCATAAATACTAAACGTACATAAATACATACTGGTAAATGAAGAATTGTTCGTAATTTCGCAACATTAAGAATTCACCTTACTTCCTACACGCGTTAAAGTTATACAAGGCTTTGCGGAATTAATAAGTATATCCTTTAATAGGTTAACATACATATTCCAGTGTAGTACTTTAGGACGACTACAATTAGAAGATTTTTTTAATATCCAGATAGGGACACTAATGTAAAGGGTGTTAATAAAGTCCGATCCCATGAATTTTTTGGAGCGCGGTTGTTACAAATTCAGCTGGAACTTTTGAACCAGTGAAGTTATTTATTTCAAATTTTTACCATGGGAGGAACAACTAAACGTGTAAGTCATGAGCATCTTAGAGTTAAGATACAAACATTGCATCAGCAGGGGTTTAAACCTGCAGAAATTGTGCAAAAATTGGGCTGCAGCCGCAGAACTGTTTGGAAATGGAAGAACAAAAATTTTGTCCACGACAAAAAGCGACCCGGGCGACCCAAATTAACTATGTGACCGTGCAAAAATTTGTGAAATCTACGAGGTGGGGTCACACAGCTTACAAACTAACCAAAAAACCTCTCATGTCACAAAAAAATATCGATGACCGTCTGAAATTTGGAGAACTCCTTCAGAAAAGTGGCCATTTGAGTGAAAAAAGACTTGGTGAAGAATTGCGCAGTCACATCCTTTGGACTGACGA